CTCATATTCATTCAAAAACATGAAAATTCTTAATGGAGTACCCTCATTTTTTATTGAATTCCTAAAAAACAATATTTATAATGAATTTTAATAAATTTTTCAGATTTTTTTTAAGCTTTATTCTGACCGATTCACCCGATTCACCCGATTCCCGATCCGGATCGCCGATTCGCCGATCCGGATCGGTTTTTTGGAAGCCCGATCCGGGTCACCGATCCATTTTTTAAACCATTGGATGGAACCATAGTTCATAAAATTGAGGTTTTAGAGTTTTGGTATGAGTGTCCTTCAGGAAGAAATTGCCTAGAAACCTGATGTTTAAATACTAAGGAAACATATATCTTAACATCTAATCCTTCGTTCAAGTCTCCTGGTGCTTGGTTGTTAACCATAGATTTAAAACTTGAAACCAGGGGGTTGAGCAACGACTTAATGACATGGTTTACAGATAAGAGTAGGACAAGCAATGATTGTTAGTCATACTAAAAATGGAAAAGAACCACAATGGATCTTGGACTGAATCTATTAAAACATCTGATACCAACCTTGCCTAGTCCTAATCCCTGAGATTTCTCTGAGAATCATATGCCCTTATATTTCTCTTTTTCTTTTCTTTTAGGTTTTGAACCCTATTTCTTGTGCTTTTGAGGATTTTGTTCAGATTAATAAAAGCTATACATATTAGATTGCAACTGCATTTTTTAGATTGCAATTACATTTTAGTCAAGTTTTGCTTGAAATTGCATTTTGGCCTTGGTAGAAACACGTCAGCTGTTCTATGTTTTTAGCTATGTGACAAAAAAAAATTAGCCAAATTTAATGTGGGTGTAGTTGTCTAATATTTAAATTTTGTAAGCTTTGGTGATTTTCTTCTTAAATTTATCCAAATTCAACAGAGTCCTAAATTTTGGCCTGCGCTATTTTGAATTTCTTCATAAATAAAGGAGCAATGAGGAATCTCATCCAAATTTCAATTGAAGGCTGCAGATTTCAATTTGAAAATGATTTGAAATTTAGAAGGTTGGAGGATTAGTCTATGGTTTCTTGAATGATTGGGCATTGGTGGATTTAGATAAGCATGGAACTTAGTGGAAATATAATAATAAATTGCTTTAAAAATTTATTTCTACTTTGCTTTGTTTATACTACTCTTATGTATGTTTGTGATACTGAATTGCAGGAGATTGGAGACTTTGAAAATTGGATGAAGACCATGGATTATGATTGCAAAAGCATCAGTGCTTCTCTGTGCAACATCAGCAAAACAAGACATTGAAGGTCATGTTATATTATATCTTCCCGTGATGTATTTAGATGATTCATTCACGAGTTTGTAGATGTGAATAAAAAATTCTGTATGTATGCGTACTCTGATGCAGAGTATATACAAGGTGTCTTGCGTTATTGATACTTCTCTATTGAGCATATTAAATTATAAAAGAATTGTTCAGTTTATCTTGAAGCCAGCATGCCTTACACCAAATATTGGGCAATTTTCTTTTATCCGAGAAATGGTTCTGTATGGTATGGAGAAGATGTTTGGGATTGGGCAATTTTTCCATGGAGAAGATGTTCTGTATGGAGAAGACTTGTTTTATTTGTAACTTTTACATTTTTAGGTATGTCTCTTACGCATTTGTTAGTTGCTTCAATTTTTTTATTGTTTCACTGATGATAGTAACACTGGATGCAACTCTTAGTATGTGACACTGTAAGTTATTCACCCTCAGTCATAAACATATGGTAGGTAACTAGAATAATTTTAAATAAGGGTACACCATTAACAGCTCACCTTGCCATCGAGGAATATACCATACTCTGCAACCCCCCTCTTTCCAGTCTTTACAACTGACTAATCACATGTCCTACTATCCTGGAAGAGCCAGCCCAAATGAAAAGAAAAATCTCATCCTATACAAGGATAACCCAAAAAGGAGACCTCGGTCTTACCCTTTGTGCAACCAAACCAAACCACTAACACCCGTATCCCCCTTTGAGTTGCATGTGTCGCACCACAAAGTCTTTTAGGGAAATTGGTAAGTTCTGTTGTGGTTTCATCATGGTGGAATGGAAGTCCTCTGGATTCCTGCCTCTTGCCACCTTACAATCGTGGTTGCAACTACTGGTCGTTCCATGATCCCTGAAACTTCCTAGCTTGCCGTTTGCTCTATACCTGGTTCATATTGCCCTGGAATTTAGATGTTATAACTATGAATATGTATATTTAAAACAAGTTAATAAATTTTGGGTTAGGTCCGCATGGACCCAGACCCAAATACTATTCAGGTCTAAGATTTGGATCCAGACCTGCGTCGGGTCCAAATCATGGATCCATACCCAGACATAGGTCAGGTCTACATGTCAGCTCTCGGGCCCACGCTGGCTCGTGGGTCCACGGGTCCCAATTTCCACCCCTAATTGGAAAATCTCCATATTTAGCATATTCATGAAATATGTGTTTTATCCCCACTGTGGTTCTTTTATAAGATGAATGGCGGGGATTACTCCTCTCTGTTTTTTGATGTTTGGGTCAGGTCCGGGTCCCTTAAAAATAATTTCAGGCCGATGCCTGGGTCTAGGGAGTTTGGACCCGGTCGGGTCTGGGTCCGGTTCCCACTAGTATATTTTTAGGCTAGGTTCGCATCCAGGTCTGGCCGGACCCAGACCCGACCAGACTCGTTGCCATCCCTATTTGCAATCACGAGCAGCATACTCCAAAGAACCATCTTGACCACGGCAAGATTCATGATCATGACCAAGAAGGATGGAAAACCATAATCTGCTAGAAAAGTTGCTCTAAAACAAAGAACCAGCACTTTTGCAGTTTGTACAATGGAATGCGCCAAAGCCTCAAATAAGTTTCACTTATGTGGCCAAAAGATGGACCCCAGTCAGAACTACAGACCAATCACCACATCACACATGGCACCTGAGGGACAATTCAAGAAAAAGTCAGGCCCGCCCTAGCAATAAATTCAAATCCCAAATTCAAATTTGAATTCAAATTCAATGATTTTCTTGCATCCCTTCATCTCCATTCATTCATGCATGCACCCTGTCTCTTCCCATTCACATATCCCTGACAAGAGGCTTCTATGTTGCTCGTCAATCGATGGCAATTGGGCATAGCGTTAATGGCCACATATGGATGGTTGGATGTGAGATGGCAGCAGTAGTGGGTGATGTGGACATCCACCTATCCATTATCATTGTTGCCGAATGAGTGGAGTGGCCTTACCCCTACTTCTCTCAGTGCCAAAACCCCACTCCTCTCCCTCATCACGAACAAATGCTCTTCCTCGTCAACACCTCTATCGTCCTGTTCCCTCACACATCAAATCTGGAACTCTGGCGTGCACAACTCTTATGATGTCCTGTAGTCATATTCGTCAAAACTCCTAGATATCTATTCTGCACAACTTGTCACCACACTAGACCCCTCTCTCTTTCTCTCTCATCCTGCATAATAGCTCTTGTTATTTGAAGCCTTCCACATCCCCCTTACCTCCCCCTACATACCTGTATATACAGTGAGCACATACTTTTGGAGCACAATGAGTACCCCTTGGCGGATCTCCCAAATATACAACTCCCAAACTCAAACGAAACACAAACTCCTCAACACCCTACTACAATCTCCTATCATCCCACTAAACTTCCCTTTCCCTACTTGAACAACACCCCCTGATCATTACCCTGCCAAACAACCACAGCCACAACTCGCTTTAACCTCAATGCAACAGCACGCCTAAATTTCAGAAGACTTCTCCCAATATCAAAGCTTCGTCTAAACTCCCTATGCTCCATTAAAAGCCTTCAATCAAAGCAGGGCAGTCTTCACGGGGGCAACAAAGGATTTGTACTTACCTTATACCCGCCTTCCCCAATAGGACACAATATCACCAGATAGTCAGAGACCTTAGAAACCCAAAACATACCTTAACACCCAAGATTTCAGAAAACTAATCTCCTAGCCCTACCCTTTTGCTATGAACCCCACCCCTCATCCTCCACATATAAGCAGGCCCCACCTGCCTCAGCAATGCACAGGATTATTTACCCTCATGAATAGGATCCCCAAATTGTTTACACAAATCTCAGAAGAAACTGACACCTCTTCTCCAGGCACATTCTTTCTGCTTGGTAGACACTGAGGAAGAATTGACAGGGCTGGAGGTAGCATTGATCTAATGCATCAGGTTAGAGTTGTCAATGGGTCAGTCAGCCCAGCCTGTTAGGCATAGCCCTAAAAAATATGGCCTGGTCCACAAAATGAGACCTGACGGCTGGGCTACCACGACCTGAGGGCTAGGCCGGGCCTGGGCCTGGGCCTGGGCCACAGCAGGGTAAGCCTGGCCCTGTGTTTTCCATTTTTTTTTTTTCTTTTGAGTGTATTAGGTCCAGCCTGGACTTGGACAGGGCCCATTGACCTGGTCTGGGATGGGCTTCACTACTGCCGATCCTATAGGGAACCAGGCGGGGACCTAGGAGCCACACCGACCATGACTGGCCCATCCCATTGCCAGCACTACTTCAAGTGATGGGCCTGTATATGATGGCTGCATAGATGACAATAGTGAGGCTTTCAAATGGAATGCCGCTAAGGGACTCAAAACAAAGGTAGATATACTAGGGAGCTTAGAATCTGGCCTGCAAGATTAACTATTACAAATCAGTGGCTGTGCTACCCCCTTTCCTAGACAACCCACAGCCACCTCAAGCTATCGATCACAAAAGGAGCTTTTTCAGACACCAACACAATCCACCCCATCCATCGAAACGAAGGTCTTAGAATGGAATATGCGGGAAGATTTCAGACTGCAATAACACCCGAAAGTATAAGCCTCATATTCTAAACATCACTGAAATCAAAATGGACGCCCCTAACTTGAAGCAAATCTGATCTGTGTGTGCAGGAGGAGCTTTTGACTTGGTCTTCCTCCTTGCCCAAGGTGCCTTGGGTGGAATTTAGGTCATTTGGACCCAAATTTGACCACGAAACTGATCTTTCCATTTCAAAAAATTAGCTGTTTCAATCATTTTCTCACTCTCTTTTGATGAAATCAGATGGAGGTTTACTGTTGTCTATGGCACCAATAAGCCTAACCTCTGTAGATTTTTGGATCGAATTAGACCAAACACATCCCTACTTTGTCTCCCTTAAATGTATTGGCAGTGTGTTTGTCACCAGATGGTCCTTTAGAAACACCAGGAGCAGCTGAATGACAGCTAGTGTGGAAGGATTCTTTCCCCATAGACATAACCTTATTGATACCCGCCTCAATGGTGCTCATTCACTTGGTTCCAGTGTTTGACAAATCGAACCGTTCTAGTATTCGAGTAACCGGTAAACCTGTCAGTTCACCCGGCCTAACCAGGCAGGTCCTGGCCGGTCCAAAACGTGTTAACAAAAAATAAAGAATTCCAAAAAAGTATGAAAAATATATTTTTAAAGTTAAATAAAACCAATGACAACCTTAAAAACTTCGAATAAGCTTAAAAAAGTATTAAAAAATGGATTTATAAAAAATTGATTTTTAATTGGGTACATTATATTCGAATAAGAAAAAGGAAAATATAAAAACAGGGATGATGCCTAAAAAACTCAGCAATCTTTGTCAAAAACATCAAAATTATATAAAAAATATTTATACAGCAATCCCACATTTTTTACAAATCTTTTTGGATTTCTTTTTGAAAATTTTTATTTACTTCGAGTTGTACACACAACTCCGGTAACTCAGGCCTCACCCTGAGTTACTTAACACGGATTAGCACAATACATCATCAGGAATGGACGTGTAGATTATGCTTTTACTTTTCCTGTGAATGTTCATTGCACAAGTAATTATGGCTCAAAAATGCAAGAATGGCCATATCAAAGCAGGTGATCTGAAGTTCATGAAGCAATACCATCTATTCACACTTATGCATTAACCATGACCGTTTTTTCCAAGATCCATGATGCAAGAGGCCAAAGACCCAAGATCAGTTTGAAACTTCTGTTATAGGGGCTTCCTACCCATTGCACATCTGTTATCGAAATTTTAAAGACTATGTTGTGAAAGGAAATATCCTCTTCTGGGAAACACCTTATATGAGGAGAGTTGGCAAGTAAATGATATCCGTATGAGGTTGTGATTGCGATGATCTCTGAGGTGCGATGTGCTTAATGAATTCGTGACACCAAAATGTCAATAGTACTCTAGAAGGAACTGGAGGAATGCAAGGCGACAGAAGCAATGCCCTCTAGCTTTTGTGCATAAAAGATTTCAAAACTCGTAAACAAGCTTTTTATTTTCTGGAACGAAGAAAAATGCAGTTAATCCCACAAGATAAATTTGTTTTGGTAAATATGAATTTTTTTATTAAAGTCTTTAAATCTTCGTATGTGACAGACCAGGCAATTTTTATTCATTTCGTCAACAGCCAACAGCATACCCAAAGAAACTGGAGGAATGCCCGGAGACAAAAGCAATGTTATCTTTTATTTGTGCGTCAATGATTTTCGAAACTCATAGAAGAGCTTCGGTTTTTGTGCATAATTAAAGTGCGAGTAGTTGCATGCGAAGGTAAATTTTCTTTCCTTATGAGACAATGCGAATGTTACTTTTAATTCCTTAAATCTTCAAATGTGATAAACAAGGCAATTTTCTGCTTGCTGCATAAAACTATAAATTGGTCTTAACTTAGGAAGCATATCACTGGAATTACTGTGATGACTGACATGTTGCATCAATGGTTTTTATCAGCTATAACGAAGAAACAGAATTCATACAAGCCAGGATATGAAGAAATGAATATGGCCTTCGTACTGAATTCTGTGGATTAAAGATCTATTTAATAGTGAAAGCACCAAAAAGATCAAAGATTGTGGTTTTGGGCTGGTACAATAAGATTTGCTCACTTATGCCAAGATACAAGATAAAAGATCGGAATCAACGTATGTAATATAGCTCTATCCACAAGGTGCTGAATAGCAGTGTGGCTTTTGAACAATGAAGTTCACTAGTGGATGCCAAAGAAGGTAAGAAGGTGACTTGTGCTACCGTTAATTTGCTGGGGAGTATGACAAGAAGTTGTTTGGTATGAGATCTCATCAATCTGAAGGTATGTTTGAAAATGAGGATTGAAGTTTTCCGTACCCTAAATGGGGAAAAACTTTCATGGATCCCGAAGTACTGTGTTATCATCATAGAGTAGAAGTCAATGAAGCAGACATCTACAAGTTTGCTTAAGAAGGTGCAGACATTAAAACATGCTCAAACAGTGTTAGTGCAAAGGTGAAAAAGAATAAGGTAGATCTCCACAAGACAAGGAGTCTTTAAGCCCCAGTTAGTGCACCCACTTTGTTACTAGCCTAACGGAATGCCGAAAAACGAGAATTAGCATCCTACTATTAATGATTGTTCCTCCATCACAACGACGGGTCTAGGCAGGTAAGGTAATTCTCTATGTGCCTCCATCACCCTTCACCATTAAAATATCTGAGAGAGGCTGCAACAATCTTGACATCCTCTTGCTCTTAAGAGCCAGATAAGGCCAAATTTTAAATCTCTGAAAATGTTAGCTTAATGTGGCCTTTAGATTGGCGTCATTAGATTGACTGTGACTACGTACCTGCATTTGTCATAAATCAGTCTTTTATATGCACACAGATCAGGTGCAATGCAACATCTTGTGGAACGCATGGATAAGACCTAGGTGGAAACTGAATTTTTGATGGTATCAAGATCGCATTTGAATTAAATTTAATCAGAATCAGCCATAGACATCTGGATAGATCATGTATCTACATAATAACATAAAATAAGTACTTGTGGTTCGAGAAAGGCGGAGCAGAACCTGCCCCATGCATGAGTATGATGAAAATCAAATAATGCAACAAACAACAATGAAAGATTTCTATTTGGAGAAATAGGAAAGGTAGGGAAGACTTCCTTTTGCTAGCACACAACTTTTGAAGATTTTTCATGGTTGAATCATTGCAAGAAAAGAAGTATCAGAGATTCAAAGATTCAAGACAATACTATGCAAATGGGACCACTTGATACCAAATCTTCCAATCCACATACTGCTAAACTGTAAGAAGAAGCCAAAACAAGGGGAGGCTGTCCTGAAAGCTTGGTTTAGAACGTGGCAGCCATAGGTGTTCAAAGTTCTTTGGCAACTTTGTTGATACTTGCGGAGTGTGTCCTGCAAAATGCGCATGCGCTTGTCGCACACCATCACCTTCCAATCTTTTAATGGGTCGGTTGTAGCAGTTTTGATTGCTCGTTTTCCGTGACATGTCATTGGATGCTGGAAACGATTCGGTAGGCTTGTTGGACCAAACGTACCCACTAACAAAAAAAAT